AAAAAGGTGTCAGACATGGATTTGCGGTCCCTACATGTCAGAACGATTCCACAAATACCTATTTTGCTGGGTTTTTGACAATATTTTCAAAAAACTTTTTTTTCGAAGTAAATCTCAAATAACGCGATTTTTTTCGCACTGATTCGTTTGACGAACTCCCAGTTTGGTTCGTAATTGAAGGTTCCAGTGTACTGACCAATAGCACTTCCATTTCTCTTCGGGAAGACAACGGTAGCCCATTTTCATGCTCCTTACCTAATCATTGCCTCAAAAATGTTACTCCGTTAAGCTCGAGAAACCACTGTACTAGTAGTACAGTAATTACCCGATTGTCAGCCCCCTTTTAGAAAATGTTTTCTGATGTTCTAACAAATCAACGCGCTTTTTAAGTAATCTTATTAATTGCACCAAAGTATACCTTCCACATTTAGAAACATTAATGTAAATTTAGGTTCTCTGAGACTGACATATACGAGCGTCAATTTGACATAAAATAGAGTCAGCTCAATCAAACGTACTTTTCGTCGAGTACCGAACTTTTCAGTCTCGTAGCATTTAATTTTACATGACATGTTTGTTAACGTCTCATCCTTTATGTCAAAGATGGATTCCGTCACGTGTAAGATTAGGTATTTCTAAGTGTGTAAACAATCTTGAAGATGAATGAGAAAGATTTGGAACTACGCACACTTCGAAAACTTCATGTAATTTTAAGTCTCCTACACGGGAAAAAAATCCGAAAAATATGAATAAAAAATCATGAAATCAAAAAACTTGTTATCCCATGAAATCATAACAATGATTCATGATTTCGTTATGGAAATTCATGATTTCATAATGCAGTCATAATAAGAATCATGACCGCATCAAGCGTTACCTGGAAAACCGTGTTCACCGCACTACACATGTATCTCTTATACGCCTTTTGCCGTCCATCTTATACAAGTACTGATAGTCTAGTGGTCAAAGTATGGATTCAATGATCGTAAGGCTCTTGGTTCGAATCCAGTCTGTTTACTTTATTTTATTTTTTAATATTTTTTGGTTTAAAAACTAAAAGTTAAGTTCATGAATTTAGTTCATGATTTTAACTTGGATGATTCATGGTTTCGGGAATCTTGGGTTCGTTACGAAAACATAGCTCATGATTTTTTTTTCATTTTGTTTATTTGGCAGGCTCAAATGTTAAAAGAATAACTTAGCGGAGCCGAGTAACATGGAATACCAATTTTGGTACTCAAAATACAAACAAAAGATATACAAATGCATATTATTAAAGGATTTTCCTGGGTGGCGATCGAAGCGGCGACAAAGCGATCTTCTCCCGTGCACGCAACTTCTTTCTTTCCCAAATTTGTTCCTCATTTTCGTTGAACCCGAAACGTGATCGCTCCTGCTGCATCTGAACATCGTTTTCCGTTGCATGCTCTCCGCTACTCTCGTCGGTCGTCGGGGTCGTCTCGTCCATTTCGTTATCTTCTTTCAACATCTCCAACCCCGTGTCCGTTTCCTGGTCGCTAATGACAAACGACGCACCTTCCACCACTACACCAGCATACGTACTGCTGCTGTTTTGTTTTCTTTCACTTTGCTTTCCTTTTTCCTTTAGTTGCTTCTCCGGTTCCTTCCGAGCCTTCCGCTTGGGACAGGAAAGCTTCCGGTGTCCGTCCGCCTTGCACAGAAAACATTTATCTTTTTTGCCATCATAAAATATATTTCCTTTGCGGTTGAAGAAATACAATGACGTGGGGATTTCCTTCTTCACATCCATATATATAAAGAGTGATACGGTCAAAATTTGGTCAAGGGAAAACGCGTGTAAATCGGTGAAATCGTTTATTTAAAAAATCAAATTAAATTTCTTTTTCAAGTTCAATTAGTATAAAATTCAGGAAAAATATTCAGTTAGGTTTCCGCTTTTCCAAATCCGAATTGCCGGGCCTTACGCTTGACCCCTGCCATCAGATTTTGTACAGCCACCTTGTCCACCTTCTTCGCCGCAGAAAGCCAGTTTGCCTTGAACTGCTTAGCAGTTTTTTTGGTCTTCTTTAGGTTCCGCTTGACAATAGCCCAGTATTTCTCAATTGGGCGGAGCTCTGGCGTATTGGGAGGGTTCTTGTCCTTGGGAACCACCTGCACGTTGTTGGCGGCGTACCACTCCATGGCCTTTTTACCGTAATGGCAAGATGCCAAATCCGGCCAAAACAGTACGGAACAACCGTGTTTCTTCAGGAAAGGCAGCAGACGTTTATTCAAACACTCTTTCACGTAAATTTCTTGGTTGACAGTCCCGGAAGCTATGAAAATGCTGCTTTTCAAGCCTTGGGTACAGATGGCTTGCCAAACCAGATATTTCTTTGCGAACTTTGACAGTTTCATGTGCTTGAAAACATCTGCTACCTTTCCCCTTCCTTTTCCCGTATAAAACTCCTGTCCCGGAAGCTGCTTGTAGTCGGCTTTGACGTAGGTTTCGTCGTCCATTACCACGCAGTCAAACTTCGTCAGCATCCTCGTGTACAGCCTCCGGGATCGCGCTTTGGCCGTCGTATTTTGTTTATCATCGCGATTTGGAGTCACTACCTTCTTGTAAGTCGATAGTCCGGCTCGTTCTTTGGCTCGATGCACGGTTGTAGACGATACACCCAGCTTATTTGCGGCATCTCGGAGAGAGAGGTTAGGGTTTCGCTTGAAACTACCGGTAACTCTCTTTGTCGTCTCAGCGGCTTCCGGTTTTCGATTTCCCCCCGATCCAGACTTCCTGGCTGTCGACAAACGTTCCCCAAACACTTTAATTACATTTGTAACGGTTGATTTGGCAACTTTTAGCGATTTTGCCAACTTTGCGTGCGATTAGCTCGGATTTTCGCGATGCGCGAGCAAAATTTTGATACGCTGCTCTTCTTGCTTGGACGGCATTTTGACAACTGAAGAGTGAATTCCAAAATCAAAATAGGAGCAACATTCTACACACACACACCTTCAAAATGAGGGGTGTTCAGGTTTTTTAAATGCAAAATTGAAAGAAATACGTCAAGTTGATATTGACCAAATTTTGACCGTATCACCCTTTACCGCGTATCCCTGTATAAACCTCAAAGCACAGATCAGATGGAAATTTCTCCCGGATGATGCGTTTAATTTTTCCATATTTCCCCAGCACTTTATCCAGCTCGTTGTCCGGTACCTCTGGTGGCAAGGCATACACACGCACATACTGGATAAATTCACCAGCATGCGACATGCGTACCTTTGCCGTCGTTCCATTCGCATAATGGAAGATTAAATCCTCCGAATTGTATGTCAGAGCATGGAGCATCGCTTCCTCTGATTTGAACTTTATGAAGACTCCCCTTTCCTCACCAATGCGATAAACAGCTTCCATTTCAGCCGGATCCGCGTCGAGTGCTTTGGCGAAATTTACAATCTCTCCGATGTTTGGTTTAGCATCATAATGGCTGAAGCTAAACTTGATGGTGTTTTTTACTTCACACATCTTGCACCGTAGCAACAAAAGGCAGAAACTGATTGCAACGAACAAAGAGCAACTTTATAATAGCGAGTCTCAAAAACAGGCTATCGCGTGGTTCACACCGAAATAAAAATTCGACTGCTGCTGTAGACAGCTGTGGGACAACTGATAGCTCATGATATCATGAATATTATTCATAACATGAAAATACGCTATGTTCATGAAATCGTGAGTCATTTATCTCACTTTGGATTTTTGATTTGTTTCCGTTTTGTTTCGAAACTTCTGATTCCATATTCAAATACGCATACACATAATCAGCACGGCATCAAAGGTGTTAAACATTTATTTGAATAAACATGCTATAGCTTTCGAACTTTGAAGTTTGTATTAGTCGATGCACGAATTAAACAATTAACGAGCCACTCCCGACCGACGACGTGCTTGTGTTGGGCCAGCGTTCGTTCGTGTAATTTCAAATCCTCCCACACCGAAAAATAACGGGTTAGCATAATTTTGAGAACACGCGTGTAAAATTGTTTGGTAAGAAGTAATATTGTGAGGTGTATGATGGAAAGTTGCAATAATATGGCCGCTCCTTTTGTCTGAGTCTTGTTAAACGTACAATTAATAAATTTTCGAACTACTTCATGGAATATTAAGTCTGTTGTTCACTTACGTATCATTTAAGAATCATATTTTTTGTTGTACGGTTATGTGAAATTATTGAAGGATAAAAGTCTGATGCAAAATCGGGTCATTAGTGTATTTAATTCACCTTGTTAAACTACAAACAATGGAATATCGGTTCCGTAAAGTTCATACGATTAAGCCTTCAAATAAATGAATTGTAAAAAAAAAAGTTCAGCTGAATCAAATAGAATCGTTGTATAATTATAGATTTCCAGGGAATTCCGGGAAATCTTTGCATAATCATAGATTTCCAGGGAATTCCGGGAAATCGATCCTGTGGATAGAAACACTAATTGGTATGACTTTCTTAGTGAAATCGTGACAAACTTTCGCTAGAAAAAATCAAAATTCCAACAGCTCTATTGGCTTCCTCAGGAATTCTATTTTTTCTACTCCTGGAAATTTCTCGCACTCCAAAAAACCATCCCATCAAACATTGAAAGCAGAATAAGAGCTTATTCCGGCAAAAGTATGCATCTTCAGCTTTAAAAAAGGCATATTCAGCACAAATTGTTCCTCCTAAAAATTCATAAAATCCACCCTAATTGGTAGCTTGCTCTGTGCAGACTTTTGCAGTCTATTGTACTCGATTACCATGTTCAATAATGTTATAAGTTCCGCATATGCCCCTTCCTGAACATGCCAATGATCAATAGTAGTATAATATCAACGTACCCTGCACTCATCCCATAGATGACTATCGATCAAAAGAGATGTGTTCGGGGTTCGAGTCGGTCGAGGGGGTATACTGGTTGGGTCACTGGGTGTGTAAGTGCAGTAGCAGCAATTTTTCTCTAATGTTGTTGTATCCCTCTCTACGTTTTTTTTTCTCCTGTAGGTAAATCATCGTCTACTGGATGGAACGTGTTTGTGTGTTCCACCCTGACAAATGTCCCAGCAGCAGCGCGGTGTGGTCAACGTAGTTAGATAGATGGGTAACTGAAATAGATTTAAGGCAGCAACAGTTAGTACATTAAAACACAGAGAGAAAAAGGGGTTTGCGGATAAAAAAAAGGAGATAGATATCAAAGTGAAAATAACAGCGGGCGCAGGGTGAAAAGTTGAATAAATTTCTTAGCTTCTTGGAGGATTTGAAGAAGGTGGCAAAGAAAGTCAGCTCCAATGAAATTGTTAATGTGATCAAGTGCAAAGTTTTTAATTGAAGAAGTCAGTGCACAAGAAGAGAAGCAAGGTAGCAGAAAAAGTTGGACTTGAGTGACATCGGGTCTTCCAGCGATAGCAGTTGAAGAAGACGGGATCAACGGAAGAAGGGAAGAAAGGAAGGAAGGAAGCAAACAAAGTGTGAGACATCAGGAGGTAGGAGAATCACTTTGTGGCAATTGTGTGAATTTCCATTTCAAAGAGTGTCCGGGTGTGAGAAAAAGCAAGCGAGTGAGAAGAGCAATAGAGCGGAAGAAAGCAGTGAAAACGGTGTGGTCTCTGGCTCTGCGAGTGGGTGGGTGATTTCCCCGGTGGGTGGCGCACCCTCAAGCGCGTAGTGTAGCAAAAAGGAATCAAAGGTGTCTGATACCGGCGAGTTCAGTGAAACGGAGCAACAACAGGCCGACCGATGTAGTGATAATCTTCCGCCGCCAATCTCGCCGTCGTCGATGGCAACTATTGATTCAGGTGAGTAGAAATGGAAGCCGGGCAATGCTTTATTACCTCCGAGTCCGGTCGGTTGCCACACTCGGTTGTCAGTAGATACGCTGGCTACTGGATGATACGGTTGGTCAGTAGTATTTAGTCCTCGTGGGAATGGGAATTTATGGACGGTTATTAACAAGTGAGCGTGAAGTGGCTGGAAATAATTTCCGTGACGGGATACATGCATCACGGGGATTCGGCAAGTGTCAATTTGTGACTTGTCGTAAATCGAAGTATCAGAGAGAGAGGGAGACATAATTGGTTTTGAGCTTGTTATAAAGTAATTTGATCAATTTGCTGAATGTTCGTCATGTGGTGGTTTAGTTGGTCATTTCCAGTCAAAGCTTTGGTTAGAATACTGTAGATCTATTTGGAAAGATTTTCATGTTTTTTCTACTACAGAAGATGGTTCATGTATGGATACAATTTTGTTTGACGAAATGATTCCAAGCTTCTCCAATACTATTTGTGGTAATTTGAAGTCCTAGAACTCTGTTTGTGCTCTAGTTCTACGAAGGATGCCTGTTACTGTTTGCGTATTGCTGCCTCCGGTAATGTGAAATCATTGCCGGCATTGGCTAGCTACCTATGAAAAGTGGACAGTATTAACTAAATTCTGATAATTATTTTAAATAGTTGTTGATGACTCCTACCTCCTCGCTGGATAAAACCGAGATAAACTTTCTTCTTCTTCGCATTTCAAGCTTATTGCATATCGCATATTAGCTTATTGCGTGCTCTCAACTTAGTGTTCTAGATGCACTTCCACAGTTATTAACTGAGAGCTTTCGATGCCTGTACCATTTTTGAATTGGTATAATTGTGTGGCAAGTCCAATCATACTTCTATGCCCAGGGAAGTCGAGAAATTTTCTAACCCGAAAAATTCCTAGACCTTACCGGGAATTGAACCCAGCCACCTCCAGCATGGTCTTGCTTTGTAGCTGCGCCTTTCCCGACTGAGCTAAGGGAGGCCTCACCGAGATAATAGTTCCTTCAAATTGTCGGATATGGCGATATCGCACGAGAACCTGGAACCTTCAGCTGATGTGCTGATTTCTCTGGACATCATCCATCCGAAAACCGATTCTGTCAGTGTAGTTAGTCCGTAGCCCAATGGAATCTCCCGTCCAGATTGTAAGAAGTTAAAAATGCCTGGATTGCCAACACCAAATCTACCTTTTTTGATCGAATGAATTTTGAATCCGCAAGTTCAATTCCTTCCGCGGATCAACAAGAGTCTTTACCTTCTGGACCCTACCTATCGACCCATCAACTCATGAACCGGGGACCAACGGCTTTACTTCCCATCCGAAGGAAGGCGTGATCAGAGATGTTATGCCTCAGAACATCCCGGCGGTGCCGACTGGGATTGAACCCAGGCCTGCTGGGGTGAGAGGTAATCACGCTTACCACTACACCACCGACGTCGTTATTTTGAGAAAAATACCAATAGATCTTTTTTAAAAACTCTAAGAGAGATTTCACTAGAACTCCAAGTCATTTGTGGGACTTCAGACGTTCAGAGTAGAATCTTGAGGTAATTCTTTTGGAAAATTCATGACGATTGTGAAGCGGATTCCAGGTTCATTTTAAATGAATATTCAAAATAAGTTCTTCGAATAATTGTGATGACAATTCAAATGAAATTCTTAGAAAATTTAAAGATAATATCAATGTAATATCAAGTGAATTCTAAAGAAAGTTTTAAGGATCTCACGATAAATACCAAGGGAATCGAATTTTGAGGGAACCATTCCAAAGGAATTCTGAGATGAGTTTTATGTGAATTCCGAGTTTAATTCCAAGAGAATCTAGAGAAGAATTTCAAGGGTATTCAATTTCGCTTTCAAACCGTCACAATCAGCGATCTTATGCTTCACGCAGAGTGAGCGCTCACGAATCGTTAAATCGCTGATTGTGACGCACTGAAAGCAATATTGACAGGTTTTATGTGTCAACTACATACTTCACAACTTCTTCTTGTAACTTATATGTACTAATTACCATTATAACATCTAATGTTTTCATAATTCGGAAAAACATTTTTTATAGCAAGTGAGTGGAAGCAACCCTGATTATAATATCTAATGATTTCATGATACTGAAAAACAATTTTTTATAGTAAGTAAGTGCAAGCCTGAGTATTCTGAGAAGAATTCCAAGCGAATTTTCTGAAGAATTTAGTGGAGAGCTCCAAGATAATTATGAGCAGAATTGTATGACAATTCTGAGGAGAATTGCATGAAAATTATAAGGAATATTCAGACTAATTCTAAATAGAATTTCTTACAGAAAGTTTCAGTAAATTTTATTCTAAACGAATTTTAGGATTAATTTTTTCTCTTTTTTTAGTGTTCTGAAATGTTGTATAGACATTTTCAATGGTCTCTCGGCGCGAATCTCAAATTAATTTTAGAGAAACTCTAAAAATAACACTGTGATAGGAAATGATTATAAAGAACATTTGAGAACATTTCATAAACATCCTGTAAAGAGTGTTGAGCGAACTTTTTTCAATATAGTTAATATATCAAAAAATCTAACTGACTTCTTGATAAGAAACTAACGATTAAAAAAAATGAATGAAATATACATTTAAACATATAACTGGATGCGATTGAGCCGTAGAGATCACTCGGCTAAATGGGTGATAATTTAGAAATTTCCCTGGCTCAAAACATCCGGGAAAAAAAAACCAAAATTCCGGGGAAACCCTGGGAAATTACAAATTGGAATCTGTTGGTCTCCATGATTATGACTAATGCAAATTTGATTTTTGCTTTATGTCAACCAAAATTAGAAAATGTAGTTCTTTTTAAAATCGTTTTCCACTCTACGCTTTATCCTAAAAGTACACAAAATATTTTTTATGAATTTATGAATTTATCATTTAATGAGTTGCTTATACGTACATTTATCTGTTGTTTGTTATTTAATATTTGCCGCTGCTTGACCTATTGTAGTGATGTCGAACATAAAATGAAAATATTATTTGCATCATAATAATGCCTTATTAGGTAATCAAATACTAATAACAAGGCAAATGCTGACAATTTTAAGACAATCAATTGTAAAGACCGCGGATATAGAAACTTTTGAAACACCTCAAATTTTTAAAGCTCTAGGACCTACACAACTTTTCTAGATAGCGGTCCAAGAAAAAATCTTACTATTCTGGAACGAGGAAAATTTTCCAAGATGGAAAGATCGTGAATGCACACGCAAATTATTCTCGCTCATTTTTGAGTAAAGTTCACTTAAATTCGCAAAAACTTAGGTCACAGGAATGAGTCAATTTTTATTCAAAGATGCGTAAATGTCACTCATATATGGATAAATGTCATTCAAATATGAGTGATATTTGCTCATATTTGAGTAGAAATTTACTCAAATGTGATTTTTTGGTCAACGGGACTCACATATGAGCCAGATTTATTTGCCGTGTAGAATATTTTGCATGCGTCTCGGCCATAACTGGAGTTTATTTATTTATTTAATCACCATATTTGACATTTTAGTCATAGGGTTTTTGATCTAATTTCCGTCCTACTAAGCACAACCCGCGCTTTACCTCTCTTTTCTGAACGAGTTTAAACAAAAAATGGAATATGTCTGTGAAAGATGACTTCTAAATTCATTCACCTTTCTATACGTACCGTTGGATTTAATAAAGAGTCACAAATTGTGGAGATATTGTTTGAAATCTAACACTGCTTCTTGATTCTAAATTCGTTCTACGAGTTTCAATTCCGTCCTAACGCATTGAAACGCCATTAGATTTTCTTCGTCCTACCGATAAACGTAGAAAAAGAGGATTCTCTAGGAGTGTTTCTTTTGTTTTGAGAACAATGAGCGTAAATATTAATATTATGCGCTCTAACTGGATTTATGTTGTAGCTAATGAACTTACGCATCCGAACAAACCTATCATTGATTTCTGCGTGGTGAAATCATTGATATTATTGATCTTTTCTGATCGATAGAACGGAAATGGGCGATTACGACGAAGTAGTGCTCTACCCTACTGACTGTTTAAATTGACTTAATCCTATTCTTAAAAACTGGTCTACTTATATTAAAATCAAAAACATCACACACATCATTAAACAGTCTGCAACATCTACGGAGAGGTTTATTATAACCGTAAGCAGTACGATGTCCGGGAGTCCACAGAAAGTAATAGTTGCGGAGACGGCGAACTGGAGTGTGGAAATTGATGTTCCCGAGCAAACAACTGCACACAGTTCGAAAAAGTAGTGTAAATTTCTGTTCAATATAGGGTAACCAACTGATTTTGGACCCCTAGAGGAAGTGAGATCACGTTTGTGTCAAAATAATATTATTTGTTTATTATTATTATGCAATTTACATGCGGTTGTGTTCGAAAGATACTCATCTTGGATGTAAAATGTCACTAGATGTTTTATTTATTGATATATACTCGAAAAATGATTCTTTTCACATCATGATATTCACATATTTTGGACCCTTCCACTTGATTTTGGACAGTGTCCATAATATATTTTGGACACACTGAATGGGAACGAATATATTTTGGACATGCTGAAGTTCTTTCAACCTATGAGCCTAAAATTAATTACGACGGTCACTTCTTCCTATCTCGCATTTGTTAGGTCCGTCTAGGTGGGAAAATTTTCAAAGAAGGTGCCGTAAAACGGGGTGAAATTGATCGCTGAGTGTACCCAATATTGTATTATGCATAATATTTTTACAATGTATACAAAGATACATTCGTACGCTTAGTAACGAAAAACATGTTACACATGAAAAAAATATCACGAGAAATTTCAGCGATCAATTTTGCCCCGCTGATCAATTACACCCCGTTTTACGGTATGCATAAAAGTTAACCCCCCGTTACTCGCGCTGTTGTACTTTGTACAACACATATAAGTTTTCCATTGCCATTTTGTTGCTGCCAATTGATCTGAAACCAACTTGTATTCCTCAAAAAACTTG